GAGGTTGCTCACAGAATTGAATGCCCAAAGAATTTTCTTCATCTGTAAACAGATGTTGAACCTGCACTATGTCCCATTTCCTAGGACTTTATGGTTATAAAGATGCAGTTACCATGCAGCCAGGACAGCCCTTATTTCTAAAATGGCAGTTGTGTTTAACTTCTGAATATAATAAATACCTATTGAGCCATTCTTTTTGCTTTTTTTTTTTTTTTTTGGTAGATTTTGTGTCACAGCAATCTGGATTTAGCGTTGCTGTACTCTCATATTATAATATAATGGCAATAAAATGATTCCCATACAAGTCTAAAGAGAATCTATGCTAATACCATTAAAATGTGCTTACCGAATCAAAACAAATGCGGCGTTAGCATATGGAAACTATGTTTATGCGATTATAATGCTTCGGCAGTATGAGATTACTGTAGGAAGCAACTAATCCAAACCTAGGGAGACTTCCCATTATGAGATTATTAAAATGACACAATGACTGAAGCGCAAGTTTCAGATGGGAAAAGCAGAAACACAAATCTTGTCATCAGTATTCAGGCAAAGCATCTATTGAATTCAGTAGAGTTTTTCAGGGATGCAGTACCATGACCTTTTCAGCAGTGAGTCTCTTTTCTCTTAATACCTCCAGGAAAAATATTTACTCCACCAGTATTTAATAGGTGGCTAATGGTGAGAGACATATTTTATGCACCATACAATTTGTGGTCGTAAAGATTTGTCGTGAGTTTATAACCGCAATGTTAAGGTATTTTTTTCAAGGCTGTTGTGAAATAATACAAGTTTTGGTTATATCTTAAGGCAATTCTCATTTCATTATTATCTGAATATGAAATGTTCAGGAAATGCCATTTATTTCTCTGTTTATACAACGCCGGGAGCAGAGAAGCCTTGGTCTGTGCAGCAGCACCTTGGTGATACCACAGCATAAATTAGTGATTTCCAAAACCAAAATACCTCTTAATTCTTGGATCAGAGCCTACCTGTTTATCTTTTGTGATAGGAATCAGCACCTTTCCCTCTCCCCTTAGACTGGACTAATAATCAGGAAATATAATTCACATGTCTTATGTAGGACTGTCTAAAACATACTTGTCCTGTCTGGGATTGTTTCCTTGCTCCCTCTGTAGTCCATGAAAGGAGGCTGATACTATAGAAGTAACTTGTCCTGTCCTATTCCAAATGCTCAGACTAGACTGCATGAGTTGCCTGTGCATTTGTCTTTCCATCTCCACTATGAAGATGGTCTAGATGATTACTCTGTAGAAGACATACATCATTTGAGATGGCTAAATTAGGGGATATAGATTCAGTCCTTGGTATATGAAAGAAGAAAGTTCGGTGTATGAAAGAATAAAATTCAGATGAAAGTTCTGTTTAAGTTCTGAGCAGCAGTCCTTATTCTGTTTAAGAGCTGTTTACACCTAAAATCAGTTTTAAAAACACTAATTAATTTCTCATTCCATCAGGTGAATCTTATTAGGAATAATGTGTCATTATAGCATAATCAAGGCGTGTTGCCTGTGTAAATGACAGTAGGGAAGATACCAGGACAGTGATTTTAAAAATAATTCCAGTCACAGGTTGTTGACTGTCTTTATTTGTCATAATTTTTTTATTAAAAGCAATGGGTTTCTAAAACTGTGTTAGTAAGCAGGCACAGACATTAATATTAATCATTTTTTTCATGCAGATAAAATTAGGCCTGCTTTAAATGCTGTTCATGTCAGTTTCTATTTTTGTAATGCTTCTTATATTTATAAAAACTTGGCCTCAATCAAAAGGTTCAGTAGCAGGCATGGCTCTGTAAACTTTATATGTGTGCAGTAATCTAGAGTCTAAAAGTCAATGGATTGGTATCTGCTACAAGAGACACCTGGCACTGGAGCTGGTAAGTTTAGGTAAATCCTGGTGTTCTAAACCAGAAGGCAGCAGCCTCAGGCTGTAAGATTTCACACACGTGACCAGAGGTCTCGGCAGTGGGCAGGCCAAATTAATTGAGGGTAAGCTAAATTTACTGTGTTGGAGGGCAATTAGTGGGAACAAATGTTGAAAATCAACTTTTTATCAATGTGGTAATCTGAAAGTGGGCAAAAAATCACACTCTGTTCCAGTAGCCTTTTTTACTATCTGCGCTATTAAATAACTAAAAATCAGCAGTGGAAACTTTTTAAGGAAACAGCCTGTAATTGATTTGTGTCAAGTTTTATCAAAAGAACTTTGAAACTTATATTTTAATTATATAACAAAATATTTGTTTAGGTTTGTTTCCCTGCCTTCATAAGTGGATTTGAAAATTGTCACTGAACATGGAGAAAGAAACGTGTGTCTCCAATGCAGAGAGTAGTTGTCTCTCTTTATGCTCTCAGGGTTTTACTGGATGCTGGAGGGTAGATACTTAAGGCCAAAACCAAAAAAAGCGAAGGTGGTGCAATTATGTTGGTCTCTTTGCTGTGCATGTAAGAATGACTTGGGTCGCTGAACTTTCTCCAAAATAGTGGGTTGCTCTATAGAGCACCAACTTTGTTCAAGGATGGAATTAATGACTGGGTTGGACAACTTAATCGAATTGCAGCTAGCAGCAGCTTCTGACTAAGACAGGTATTTTGCTTTAGATTATTTGCTCAAGAATAATATTTTCTGAAAACAGGCGCTTCTTAATTTATTTGGCAAAAAATGAATCATTATATTAATCAGCCAGCAGTCTGTTCTGTGAGAGTAATTATTCTTCTGCCTTCTCAGACAAGTCAACACACTCGTCTAGAAATGAAATTCGTAGAACAGTTCTTCCTAAGTCTGCTTTTACACAAGGCAAGCAAACACAGTCGATCCTTTCTCTTTCTTATGGACGGCGAGGTTTCGCCAGGCAGGCGATAATCTCCCTTTTGCAGGGGCCGGGCCACTTTCGTGCATTGGTACTCTGACAACGATTGCTGCTCCTGAGATGAAAGTATCCCCAAAGAGATCTCGACGTTCTTGTGCCCTTTGATATGTAGAGTTCAGTGCCCTTCGGATTTCAGTTTTTCTGTCATCCTGGTAGATTAACTTTAGCAGTTAAAAGGAGAATGTCCTCTGAGGGCTTCACCAGTAACAAACCCGTGTTTATGATATTATTCACTAAAAGGGAGATAGAAATGGGAAAGACCTCTCTCTTTAATCAATAATGCATGCTCTAGTTAGTCCTGTCCTCTGGACATGATTAAACATGTATTTTGTTTCATAACCGATGATTTTGGTTGACTAGGGATTAAAACTATATATCCTCAAGCCTTTGCAACTAGCATCAGGAAGATCGAACATGAACTGGGTAGTCAGCCATGTTTAATGTTAATATGGCACATAAATGAAAGAGACTACCCCCACTCCCAAAAGAAAAAAAAATATCCCAAAATCCCAGTGGGGAGAGCTGCAGATAATTCTAACCTGCAATGAGTCAGGCCGAACTTGCGCAGGGCAGATGCCTTTGACGTGAACCAACTGCAGACAGTAGCCTCAGTGCATGTCTTTGTCACCGCTTATTTGAAGTTTTGAGAAATAACGTTGTTTCATTCATGTTGAAGAAAAAAGTCTGTCAGAGGCTGAGCCATATACATTGTTAGGTTAAACTCTGTTTTTGACTGGTAGAATATTTGGTCAATGAAGCTGATGGGAAAAGCACTCCAGCTTTCCTCCCTGTCCTGATTTGAGCTAAACAGAACCAATTCTGTTTGGTGATTTTTACTTTTCAGTTCAGTCTCTTCAAAAAGACTGCATGTTCTGAAGTCAGCAGCATGTCTGTGCAGACAGTGTGTGCTACTGGCAGTGATAACACCTGATGTTTGCAGTTACTGCCTGGGACTGGGATGCAGAAAGGCTCTTTCTGATACTTATTCCTACAGTGACCAAGGCCACTGCTGGCTCTTGTGTGCCACGCTGGAGGTGCCGGGTAGTAAGAGGGGTCACAAGGAAGCAAAAGGTTGCACCTCTGGGGGATAATAGACAGGAGAGGTGACCAACGAGAGTATTCCATCCCATATACGTCATGCACAGTATAAAACTGAGGGATCATGAGAGTTTAGGCCTCTTTTTGCCTCTTTTCTTCAATGGCTGGCGTTCAGGGAGGACTCTGTCCAATCTTCTGCCTGTGATCCTGATCCTGAGTTCCTGAATCCAGCTCCCGTGTCCAGCCCCCTTCTGCCTCTGGGTCTGGGGCTTCCCTGGTGCCGCCTGCTCTGCAGCATCGGTGGGGATGGCTGTCTGTCGGGAGGGAGTCGTGTTCAATGTCGCATCTATATGTATGTATTTGTATATAGGTCTTTATTATTTCCTTATTAGCTCTTTTATTATTGTTTTATTAAAACTGTTTTAGTTGTCTTTTCCTATCCGTAAGTCTCTCCACCTCATTCCCTTTTCCTTCCCATTTGGGAGGAATGGGGGGGTTAGAGCATTCAGTTGCTAGCCCAGCCCTAACCCTTGACACTCCCGCTGGTTGGGGGCCATGCTGTATCCTCAGTGACTGTTACCAGCCTTGGAGGAGTTGTACTGGGCTGCTCCAGACCTCCAGAGCGCAGCTGGTGGGAGAACCTGAGCCCCAGTAAGGAATATTTGGCCTTGAGTATATTTATCTGGTGGCTTAAGCTGACAAAATCTGTCAGCTGCTGAAGAGCAGAGAATCCTAAATGAACATACAGTCGTTGTTATTAAATGGCAAACATTTTTCTTAATGTGATATTGACTGTAGCACAATAAATTATGATGATTTACATGTACTGGAATGTGATATTTTTACCTTACTATAGTACTGATACAGGCACAGTTTGGTAAAATGAATGTTTTGGTTTTCATGTTGACCCCTGTACTGGAAACACTGTTTGAAAACATTCCAGCGAATACACGCAGCATGTAGGTGTGTGCCTGAGAGAGGAGGGAATTCTGAAATTGTGTGAGAAAAGTTTACTCTTTCTGAAATGCTTTTGTTTCCTTTCTTCTTCCTTACCAGATTTTTAGACTAAATCTGATTTTTTTTTTCTCATTTTGTTGAAGAAAAATGCCTTCCTTGAGAGGAAAAGCACAGACTGTTTTGGGCCTTGTGGAGCCAGACCGCCTTGGCTATACGTTGACTCACGAACACTTGACTATGAACTACAGCAGCTGCTTTTGTCCACCTTCTCCAGGCCAAGAATCTCTGTCTCGTGGGCCCATTGAGATGAAGAACTTGTTTTGGATTAAGCAAAATCCCTACAGCCATAAAGAAAACCTTCTCTTGTATCAGGAGACAGATGCTGTGAAGGAGGAGCTGTTGCATTTTAAAGCAGCAGGTGGTGGGACGATTGTAGAAAACACCACCACAGGAATCGGTCGGGATATGAATACTTTGAAGAAGCTTGCTGAAGAAACTGGAGTCCATATTATTGCTGGAGCTGGCTTTTATGTGGATTCCACTCATTCTGCTCAAACACAGGCCATGACAGTGGAGCAGGTAAGTCTTACCCATTGCTTCAGTGTCTCTCTCCTAATAATTATCCTTGGGTGAGTCAAAGTTGGAGAGAAGTTCCAGCAATATAGATGACATCTAAAAGTTCTCAACATGAAAACCTTGGGGACAGCATTACTGCTCATGTGCTATAGCTGGACCAGCACTACTTGCATGTACTGGGATTATCTATCAGCATTTCCAATTCTTAAATTCCATTTTCTCTCAGGGCTTTGTTATAATGCAACAGTAAAAGGAAAATAAAGTACTTCACGTGTGGGCTTCTGGTACAACACTAATTATCCTGTTCTTTTTACAGTTTTTAAGGAAGGAGTATATTCCTTTTGTATCTTTTGTCTCTTTTTCTGGCTAATTGCTTCCCAATGAGATCACCCAGAATTCTTCTAAAAAGCATAAATAATTGCAATATGTATAGGACAGTTGTAAATCATTGCCTTGCTCGGGCTATATGTTACATCTCTTTTCTCTACCATTTGTCCAGACTTTTCAAGGCAAAGTCTACATCAGATTGTTTGTACGGTGCCTAAGGCAATGTATTAATAATGTCTGAGGTCCCCAGATATTCCTGTGATAATAAATATTCATTCATCCTTTATTAAGAAAATGTGATGGTAGAGAGAAGAGGGAAGGGAACTCTCCAAGGCTCCTGCTGTGAATGTGGAGCCTGTGAATGTGGATGAACAGAGCTGAGAATTTTTTTTAAAAAATCTGTCACAGTTTACAAATTAGTCAAATTAATTTTAAAAATCAGTGGTCAATACTTAAGCTGCACTGCTAGCCGCACTAGACCCAAGCTGGCCCAAGCTGTATAGAACAGTACTGCTTTTCTTAAATATTTTCCATCTCTTGAAATTTAATACAAATAGATTTCTTGGGGAAAAGATCTCCCTTCTGTATTTGGTGGACCAACAGATGTCCTGTTCTTAGCAGGTAATCAATCCTTAATCCAGTCCAGAAGTCAGTTAGTTACTTAGAAAGGGTTGTGCAATGGCTGATCTGTCATAACCGGTGGTTCCTCATTTGCCAGTAAACTTGACATGATGATATGTTTCCTGGTTAGATGAAGACGATTTTGAGAGGTTGTTTAGGAAGGAGTGAATTCTGTATCTGATTGTCTACAGAAATGGTTGGTAGACTGGCTGTACATGAAGCAGAAGGTATGTGATCGTAGGATAAATTGTTGGGCAGAAGCCTGCTGTAAACTGTAATAGCTTGGAGTGACTTTTGTGTATAGATTTATTTACCAATATGTTATGTGAAGCTGTTGATGACACAAGGTGTGGAGTAGAGATAAGTTGCAGAATTTATCTGAGAATTGGTGTGGAGTTCTTCGGTTTTCTGGATTTGCTTGCAAACCTTCCTTCTTCCCATGCTCCCTTTGGTCTTCTTCAAAATCTTGATTTCCTTGACATCCAGGACCAACGAGTTCGAAGGTTGTCGTCAGTACCATTTTGTGCTCACAATTATGAATGTATAATTTAAGATATATGGCCTATTCTGGAATAGAAAAACCAAAGCTTTTATAAAAAAACTGCTTTTGTTATGAGATTCTGATATCTTTTGTGCCTATGAGTATTTTAAAAGCAAGTTAATTTTAGCCCCCTAAATGTGTAAGCTAAGCTTTGTTCTTTCAGTTCTGAAGTCAGCGGAGCTCCTGTTGTTTTGTGCATTCCCAGAAGCAGGATTTGCTTTACACTTGTCTCTTCGGGATCTCCCTTTCTTGTCTGAATGATAAGGCTTCCTTATTCTCTGATCCCTTGCTTCACAAGAAATTAAATTGAATTGCTTCTGGAGCCAGTTCAGGAGTGTGAGGCACAGTTACATGATAAACTTTTTTTTTTGTAAAGAAAATTTAGTCTCAGCTTAAGTCAGTGTTCAAATTATATGTAGGTCAGCTTTCTTGGCAAACCTGGACAACTGCATGAGTGGATACTGTTAAATTGATTTGCTTCTGTGTTTATTTTGGTCTTAGTGAATGGCTAGCGTAACATTAGTTGACAGAAACTAGGTTTTAGCTGCAGTGTTTTCACACACCCAGCCGTTAATTAATAGTTCATAAAGACCTCGGGAGTGTGACAGCACAGTGTCCATAGGCCAGATTTGGCTATGTTTAACGCGAATAGTATTAATAACCAAAAATCTCATTTTCCTGTTCTCTAGCTTACAGACATTATTGTTGATGAAATTCTCAATGGAGCGGATGGGACTAACATCAAGTGCGGTGTGGTGGGAGAAATAGGCTGCTCCTGGCCTTTGACTCAGAGTGAGCACAGAGTGCTTCAGGCAACAGCACAGGCTCAGTCCCAGCTTGGGTGCCCCGTTATCATCCATCCCGGCAGGGACAGCGATTCCCCTTTCCAGATTATCCGCATCCTGCAGGAAGCTGGGGCCGACGCTTCAAAGACAGTCATGTCCCACCTGGACAGGTAAGCAGGCCATTCTTCTGTCCTTCTGGCAGCACTGCCACAACCCACTGGGGTTTCGGGGAGCTACGGTCCAGATAGCTGGGTCTCTGTTGTGCACTGGGATCATAAGAGGAAGAATTATCTTCACATTTACTGACTTCAAAAATAACTGCGGATGTAGAGCTTGATCAGCTTCCAGCACTTCAGTCAGGATCAGCTTTTATACTCACATTGATAAAGAAATTTTCATGTTTTAAATGATCTCCTTGAAGACCTTGGAGTGCGATTAGGAATAACGGTAGCCACATTTTTTTAAAAAAATGAGAATTCCATTCATTCATATCCCTGTACAAATCTGTGTGGTTATGAAGCATTGGACATCGAGCAGCTCTCACCAAATTGGGTGGGAAGCTGCTGATTTTTGAAAACTGGGCCACCCTTGGTTTGGCTGGATTCTGGATCAAAACAGAAGGCAGATCTTTAATGCTCTGCTACCAGGCAGAAGTAATACTGCTTACAAAGGAAATAGTTGGGTTTTGGATAGTTATTAGCACAGACCAGAGAGCTAACTTTTCATTTCTTTGAGAGAAAAAAACAGGAGCCCTGCATCAAACACAGAGAGGAGTTGGGGTGCTTTTCTCTCTCCGGTTAAGAAACACATCCTCTGTTAACAAATCAGTTTTGTGTGACCTTGTGTTGCATTGATTAGTTTGGCCAGTGCCTGAATAATGGAGACTGTTTGTAGTCATATGATTCTCAGCAACTGAATTCTTTGCACTCAATATGAGTGTAATACAGGCAAGAATACTGTGCTCCAGATTTCTAATGGTGTTAGGCTCTAAGAGCTTGCAAATCAAGCTACAGGTGTTTTGTATTCACACAGAGCTCGGTGTTTTACTTGGGGATTTTATGAGTGTAAAATTCATTGCCAAGAAATTTTATTTATATTTGATAATATATAAATGTTATGGGCTTTCTTTATGTATTTACCTGCATTCCACTGTATCTATGGCTACTTTTTTTTTCTCCTTTTTTAAGGAAAACTGATTACTTAAATCATTTTGTGAAAGAGGACTGAGCAAGCTGCAGGTGTCAGTACTTACATAGCCATTCTGATACAGCGTAAACGTCCAGTTATGTTTTTTTGCCTTTATGTGCTGTTGTAAGTCATTGAATTCCACAATTTAGTGGTGGAAAATAAGCAATATAAGTAGGAAAGAGGTGTGGTTTCACTAACAGGCATCGATGCACAATATGACATTTCCTTATACTTCTTCAGTCATTGCTTTCACACATTCGCACTGGCACTTGCTGTAACATGGGCTCTTAACTACTATGAAGTTTGACTTTGCAATGTGCATTTAGCATTTTAAGTCTCCTCCTGTGAGAAGAATCCATGTGGGAGCATCCCAGCCCCTTAAATGTGAGATAAATTTGTACATAGCTCCATATTTCACGTCTGCTTTTGACATAGACAGAACGGTAGCTTTCAGATGGATTTGCAATCAAATGATAAAACTAAAATGCTGGCTACCATGTTTTGAAATTTAGCGTCTTAGGACCAGAGGTAGCAAGTGTCCATAGTGAAACTAGGATGTAGGTAACAGCTGGGAAGCAAAGGCTATTAAGTCTTGGCCTTGGTCATTTATTAGGGATTAAGGGTGTAAAGGTATTTTGGTAGAAATCAACATTCATTCACTTTAGTAGCTTTTATTAGAAGACTCACAGCAGTTGTTATGAATGCCTACTGGATGATGGTTTGTTGGATGCCACTGCAGGGATTTATGGATGAGGTCCAAACTACAGGATCATAGAATCATAGGATCTTTTGGGCTGGAAGGGATCTTTAAAGGTCATCTAGTCCAACCCCCCTGCAGTGGGCAAGGACATCATGAAGCTCAGAGCTCCATCCAACCTGACCTTCAATGTTTCCAGGGATGGAGCTTCTACCACCTCTCTGGGCAACCTTTTTACAGGGAGGGTCAGGACATAAATTCTTCCTTTTATCTAGTCTAAATCTACCCTCTTTTAGTTTAAAGCCCTTACTCCTTGTCCTCTCGCAACAGACCCTGCTAAAAAGCTTGTCCCCATCTTTCTTACAAGCCCTCACTTCTCCAGGCTGAACAACCCAAACTTTCTCAGTCTTCCTTCAAAGGAGAGGCGCTTCAGCCCTCTGATCAGTTTTGTGGCCCGCGGCTGGACCCACTCCAGCAGGTCTCTCTTGCACTGAGGGTTCTAGAGCGGGATGCAGTACTCCAGGTGGGGTCTCAGCAGAACAGAGTAGAGGGTCAGAATCACCTCTCTTGAGCTGCTGGCCACACTTCTTTTGTTACAGCCGAGGATCTGATTGGCTTTCTGGTCTGCGAGCACACGTTGCTGACTCGTGTCCAGCTTTTCATCCACCAGTACTCCCAAGTCCTTCTCTGCACGGCTACTCTCAACCCACTCATCCCTCAGCCTGTATTGCTACAGGGGATTGCCCCATCCCAGGTGCAGGACCTTGCACTTGGCCTTGTTGAACTTCATGATGTTCACACAGGCCTGCTTCTCCAGCTTGTCCAGGTCCCTCTGGGGCACATCCCATCCCTCAGGCGTGTCAGCGGCACCACTCACCTTGGCGTCATCTGCAGACTTGCTGAGGGCTCTTGATCCCGCTGCCTGTGTCACTGATGAAGATACTAACCAGCAGTGGTCCCAGTGCGGACCCTTCCCTGTGTCCCGGCTCCTCTCCCATGCCTTCGGGCTGCTCAGGGGCACGTGTTGCCCAAACACCCCGTTCCAGCACAGAGACGAGCAATTAGAGCTGAGAACTGCTGCTGCTGCTACACCCAAGCAGTTTACAAGGGGACCCAATAGCTGATGAAGCTAAGCTCTCCTGCTCCTCTTTGGGACAGAGCACCCAAAAGCACAGCATTAACAATAGTTTTGAAAAGAAACTGTTATGGCTGTGATTTTGAAATACATTGTTGTGTGGTTTTTGCCTCCTGCACAGGATTGCACGCCCTTGGCTAGCATCTCCCTGTGAACTGAGCGGGATTGGATCTAAAATAACTTGTTATTTTGCTCTGCACTTTGAAAACTCATTTGGTGTTAAACGTTCGATCTCTGTGAACTGTAAGATTTATTTTAAAATAACTTTTTTTATTAATTACAGTTGGCAAGTCTTAGACTCCTGATGATGGCAGGCTTGTCTGAACAAGGGTTTTCTCTCTCTCTCAACCCATCTGTTCCTCCTACTTAGTCCTATTGTTAAGTCGTAATACTGAGATTATGACATCAGTCATTTCCATAGCAACAGACTGTGATGTAACTGTAGGGTAAAATTATTTTGTGACATCACTATCTGCAATAATTAAAAAATGAAACTACTGCCCTTCTAGTTAACTGTGCTGTTCTTGTGGAAACCTGTTTTTTCCTTAGATGAAAGAAAAAATTTGCTGTGGTCATAAAGATAAAATTACAATGTATCATTTGAGTGGTTTTTTTTGTTTTCCTTTGCCTAGCATATATTCTTGGTAACAATGTTTCAAAGTGAAAAAAAAAATATTCCAGGGAGCTCTTATTTCAGTTGCCATTCTTCTCCAGATGAGTGGTGGAGTTTAGTAGCTTTGTTTCTTCACTTTTCAAAACTGCTGCAAAGGCCATGCCCCAGGTACTCACGGTGACATTATATATTTCGGTGAGACCATTTCCTTAAGCCATTCTGGCCAGATCCCAGTGCAAACAATGATATATTGCTGTTCTAATGACGATCTGGAAACGTCACCGTACAGAACAGAAACTAAAGACAAAGTTGTGTATCACTGGAATGTGATGGATGAAACAAGCCCAGGCTGTAGCTGTCTCCTGTAACTCTTCTGGGAAAGTAAATCTGTCTTTTGTAAGTAATCCATTGCCTATTTTTTAATGTCACTATGAATTAACCTCCTCCTTAAATGTCCTTCCTTGTTAGGTTGTCTGTTGAAAGGGTTAGTGATGTCGAAAGTAAGTAACTTTCCTGATTCCATTTCAAGTTTATTATAAATGTTTTCCTTATTTCATGGGAATATAGTTGGGTTTGGTTTGGTTTTGTTGTGTTTTTTTTTTAAAATGCATGAAGTTCCAGATGAGTGTCAGAAAGACAGTGCTGTGTATCAGCTTAAGTTGCACGTGTTGAACAGGACTCATGTTTTTCAAAAGGGTGAATTAAAACTTAGATTATTGCTTTTGTTCCTTCTAAGTAGGAACTTGCAAAATACCTGCCCTCATAACATGGGATTTTTTCCTTTCTTCCCATTACAATGCTGACTTTGTGTTATATATGTTCTGCAGGACCATATTTGATATGAAGAAACTTCTGGAATTTGCTAAACTTGGATGCTATTTAGAGTACGACCTATTTGGTACAGAATTTCTCCACTACCAGTTCCACCCTGATATTGACATGCCGAGTGACAATGACAGAATTGCAAGGTAGCTGCTTCCATGCTCTTTAAGCTATAGTGTTGCCATTGACAAATTATTATTATAGGTACTTGTTTTACAGGCATCACAGAGTGATTCTGTTTACTGTTCAAAATTGTATTTTTCATACTAAAATACTGTTGGTTTTTTCGACTGCTGTCACATCTTTAGAGCAGCATGTGTAATTTCCTCTATCTGCAAAGGAAGATATAAAATCATAGTGCTGTAGAAAGTTACTTCAGAAGAAGATCAAGAGCTTTTTAATTTAATTCTCTGTCCTAAATCCATGCTGATGTGGTTGAATTTTATCATTTGCAGCATTTATGTAGACTGTAAAAAAGGCTGAAGATGCTGGATTTATGTTAGGGTTTGGCTTTTGTTTGAAACATAGTATTGGAAACCTAGCGCTGTTACTAAGCATCATCTGAGCCCGTTACATCTCCTGAGGAATGTGCTGACCTGGTGAAACCCAGCAGTTGTCTTGGGTGGATTTAATCCTGTATGTCTGTCCTGAAAACTCGACTTTTTTTTCCCAAAGCCCTTTATCGCCTCTCCTCCCATTCTCTTTTTACCCTTTCTCTCTTTTGAAGGACAAGATTGCTGTCTCCTCAGAACTCCCATGCTCCTTACACTCACGGTGTGAAAATGCTGGCCCCATTGGCCGGATAGTGGTTAATGATTGGGCTTGGTGATCTTAAAGATCTTTTCCAGTCTATGCAAATCTGCGATACCTCTTCCCTGCTTCTCGTCAGCACATGCAGTCTCAGCTCAGCTGCACAGCAAATCTGTTATGCTGTGCTAACACGAGGTATTGCCAAGGAGAATTTTCCTTGCAGAAACTGTCTGTGACAGGTAGGATCAGCTGGGAACTGGCATCTCGCTCCTTCCACTCTTTGATCCTCCTGTGCTGTTTGTCCTCAGTGTCCGTGTGCAATGAAGTGGCAAGTTTCTGAGGGGTGGGATGCCCTCAGGTCCACCTCTTTTTCCCTTCAAGAGTCACAAGCAGTTGTTTCATTCTCCTTGGTTAGAAGGATTTTGTGATCACTACTGAAGTAACTTTCTAGCTTTCGCTTACATTTCAGACGTAGCTTCCCTCCCCTTCAGGTTAACCTCAAAAGTAGGCTTCTCTGTTTGCAGACTGGTGTCTTCTAAAGAGAACAGTGGTTACTATTGCACTTACTGCCAAGCGTTTGCTGCTGCTTTTCACACTAGCAATCATTTCCTTCTCTTAGCAGGACTCTCAGTCTTGCACTCAGTATTTTAAACTGTTGCAATAAATTCACTCTCTTCACGTTTAGGATGGGTAAAGTTCCTCCCCTCTCCTGTGCTGCGGGAGGTCAGCACGTACAGAAGCACTGGGAGGAATGTGTGCAGAGGAATGGGCTGTGCCCATTGACAAGGGCTCATTCAACCATGGCAAAGGTTTAATTCCATCCATGGTACTTGCTCAGCCACTGACATCTCTCCTTAAACTCTCTGGTATTTGAGTATTTCTTGCAGCAGCCTGTTTATAGGAAGCAAATACCGGAAGTTTATCTTCTCTTTGTATGGTGTGGATACATGCATCTGAGTCAGAAGCCATTTAGTTGGATTTTGTTGGGCTTCAGATGCATCCACACTGGATGGCAGCGGCAATCTCTTTAGAGTGTGGTGGGGGTTTGTCTGGCTGCACCAAAGAGGTGGAAGCCAAATTGCCCTTTAAATATGTTGATGAAAATATTGGATGGAAGATACATGTTCAGATCTTGTCTATTCAAAGTGTAAGCCTCTGTAGTCATGCCATACCTACTCACAGTTTAGCCGCGTGTGTACTTAACGCATTTTTGCGGCAATCTGCTCCCAACACAAGTAAAAACCTGATTTTTTTTCAGGATTGGTTTTAATTTGTGTCAGAAGCAAGTACTAACTAAACTTAGAGGAATGAGCAAAGAGCAGCAGTGATTATGGAATGTAAATGACCATGTGACTCCACAATCCATGAATACAATAGGAGATGATTCTAAGAAGATGTTTGGTCAGCAAAGAACTTAGTCCCTCCATCGTCATTGCTCTTACTCTGTGGCTGTCCTGTGGTGTCACTGTATTTCAGGCTGGAGAAGACAGCTATGATGTATATGTACTACTACAGTATATGTAGTGTTGTGCACTATGGGGCACTATTTATGGTGGGTTTTTTGAAATATGCTAATCTTTTACCAAGTTGTATCTTACTTGTCTTCTTTCTGCTGCCCATATTGATTTGAACCTGCTACATGTATCTCCTCATAACTAATCATAATAAAAACTGACAGTAAAGGCTTTCAGATATACTGTGGGCACTTATGAAACTAGCATTTGCTTTCTTGCTGATAAAAGCACAGTCAGGAAGGCAAGACTTAGAATTTCACGGCGCTGGCAACTGGGGGAATTGAGTGCCTTCATGAGGAACGAGCACTTACTAGGGCTGGTTGACCCATCTCTGCCACTTTAACATTGCACTCTACTGCCAAACTGAACTGAAGCTTAGTAGGGAACTTAACAGTCATGCAGGAGTTTAGACAGCCAGATAAATTCTAAAAATAAATAAATAAAAATGAGCAGAGCAAGGGATTAAGGTTCTCAGAGTGAAATATGGAACAGAACTGGACTTGTAGCAGACTTGCTACAAGAGAGTGACCAGAAGGATTCCTTACTTCCAAGCTGACTTTTATTTTGCCAAGTCTCTTTAGCTGAGCTGCCCTGTTAACTCCTCTTACTTCCTGGCATGTGCGAGCGCTATGCAGTGCCTGTCTGATTTACCTTCTTCTGTAATGAACACCTCTGAAACGTGTTTGGATGATAACTGTCTGTACGGAATATGATGCTGGCAACTTGGTTTGCTAAGTGGGAGTTAACTAAAGGTGTGGAAGTATTTGTGCAGTTGGCTTCTTAAAGGACCTGGCACACACACAGTCTAGTCCTTCACAAATGGAATGGGATTAGCTTAGTGACAGCAGCAAGAACTAACCTGCTGAGGAGGAGCTTATGTAGGCAATTTATTACGTATGTATACAAAACCTATGTCCCGTGTTTGGTGATGCTGAAGCTCTTAAATCTCTCTGGGGGCTTAATGGGACTGGGAATGCCAAGTCATATGCCAACTGCAGAAAGTTTTCCTTCTACACTTTGAGATGTGTGGTGGTATGTTTTCATTCGGTAAAATATGTGTTTTAATTTCAGTTAAATATAAGGAATATGCCTTCTGAGTAGCTAAAAATAAATATCTTCAGTTATAATACAGTCCAGCAGTACAGTAATGTAAAAAAATGTAAATCCTGCTCAGGTCTGTGCTGTTGCGGAGTGAGAACTTTTCACTGACGGGTCTGCTTTTTGCCTTCGCAGGATTCAGATGCTGATCGATGAAGGCTATGAAGACAGAATTCTCATGGCTCATGATGTGCACACTAAGAATAGGTTGATGAAATATGGAGGTCATGGATATTCACATATCCTTAAAAATATAGTTCCTAAAATGCTAATTAGAGGCATATCTCAAGATAAAATTGATAAAATACTCCTAGCAAACCCAAAGCGGTGGTTGACTTTTAAGTAGGAGTAAACATTCCTATTTCATAAGGGAGCTTGATAAAACTCAGATTTGTTTCAGGAAAGCAGTCATTTTAAAACTTGGCTCTTTTCAAAGAAGCACAAAGTTATTAATTAGATGTGAACAAACTAATTATGATTTTCTTAATTAGAATAACAAAATTATGTATACTCCCTGCATTCTCTCCCTTCTAAAAGTCTGATAATGAATTACTGGATATGAGCCCACCTGCAAAATGTTTTTGATTGAAACTTTCAAAAAATTGTTTCTAGAGAGTAATGAATACTATTATTAAATGCTGCCCAAAAATATTTTTGAAGATGCATCTTTTGCATTTGAAGGAAATTACAGGGTTCAATTAAATTCCTCTTCTCCAGGGGGTGATTTTAATCCTTGTGTAATTAACAATCTTCTAATTATCCTTATATTCTTTAAATAATACTTGATAAAAGGAATGGGACTTTTAAGCAGCTTCCACTGACACGGAAGGCAAAAGGAATCTCAAATAATTCTAAAAATATATTGTTTCTTTCTAGTTATCAGTTTACCTATTTTTAAATGAAAGTCTAAAAAATACATGGAAAAATACACTTTTGAATAAAACAATTTTACAACCTCTTAAATTATCTGCAGCATTATTACCAGTATTTGTTTTTAATTGAAAAATTGCTTGTCCCTAATTTTTGGAATGTCAATGATCATGTGAAACCGCATGTAAGGATGCAACACCAAAAGTCAAAATATATTACGTAATACAGTTTTAATGAGTTGTAATAGTTATAACAAAGGTTGTGATATAAGTCTTTACAAATCAGTATATCAAGATATGATGAAAAAGGAAGAAATGTTTGCCTCATATGTCTTTTTCACATGAAGTGTGTTCTTTGCTCTTGTCTAACTTTAACCAGGGCAGGTGATTTATCCAAAAAATGGTGTTATCCAGTAGCAGCGATACCCTGATTTCAAAAGCCTCTTCAACTTTGACCATATGCATCTTATAGTGTTGAGCTTTTCCAACAAATACCTTAGGAAATACACATTGCTAGTTGTAAATATCTCTAGGTTGGTACACGTTACTGTTGGACCACGTAGAAAATCTGTGGCTACGCTGCTGTTGCGAGTGCGCTAACCAAGAAAAGCAACAGTGGAACGAACAGACATGAAGTCAGTTACACATCTGTCATTAAAATACATTGCCTCGTAGGAAAAAGAAAAACAAAACCAAACCAGGAATACTCACTACAATGTACGGATATAGGTTGGCACTTTGTCCTGAAGTAAAAGCGTTAACCAGTCTGGTGAGATAATACGCAAGCAACTGGCAGCACAACGTCCCTTTATAAATCCTAGATGGGTTAGACTGGTGATCCTCCCGGTCAGCCCAGACTAACTCAGCATTTACTTTGAATTGGATGACTCGGCACAGAAAGAGAAAGAATAACGTGCTGTTTAAGAAAAGCTTTGCTCATTCAAACAAGAGATTGTTAGAGAGATTCATAAAATCTTTATCAGACTTTTACTGAGCAGCCAGCACTGAAGAGCTTTTTCGTCACAGTGGCAGACACTTTTGATGGTTTAGTGCAGATAAATCTGAGTTTGTACCCTTAGTACATTAGACAAGGTTGCCTGTGGCAAAGTATGTGAAATAGAAGTGCTAGGGGTAGCCGCTATTACTCCTTAACAATTTATAAACTGTCACCTTGATTTTGCCAAAATCTCAGAAATAAATAAGCAGCTGTGATACGGACCTGGTTAAATATCTTGCTAAAATTTAGGTTTAGAATGAAATCTGCAAGTTTTAACCTGAGAGAAATAGACAGCCTCTCTTCCCAAAAGCATAACAAATAATAAATCCGTTTTCTGAACAAAAAGATCCCATCAACATTACTGGTATGACTGATTATAAAGCATTTTCATAACTATGTAACTCATAGTACCTGTGTTTAGTTTAATTCTCCAAGCCATTAATCCTTTATAGGGATTAAACTTTCTTGAGACTTTATGTATATATATGTATATCTATATCTCTATATATATATGAATGAAAAAAATAGGTTTTAATACACTTTTTTTTTTCCTTTCATGTAAATATCTGCTTCTTTCTTTGCATATGTGTTATCATTTTTGGTAATCTGCTTATCTGTGTCCATTTAGTAGGCACGCCTTACTACAAACTGGCAACTAGCTACCATGGAAAAGGTCTATGTGACAACATTTTTCTCACGTGTCAGATCTCCCAGCTCTTCCTTTGTGGGAATAATCCCACTAACGTCAGTGAGACAAGACACCTAAGACAAATAAGGTTTTGACCCATTATATTTGTATGAAATTCTAGTTGAACATCTGCAGTATGTTAAGTCATAACTATTTTATTAAAAATAGTACCCAAGTACAGACTAAGTGCTAAAAGACTAATGAAGACTAACTGCTGCAAAGAAAACACTCTACCTCAGTCTCAGGAAGTCTGAGGATAGGGATGCCAGGCTTGCTAAATATTTACACAGCTAACCATCTAGAATGGGCCTGTAGTAATTATCTAAATATATATTTACACATTTACAAATGAAAAGCCAAATCCTTTTTCCACTAACATCAATGAGACGTTTGCCGTTGGTTTTAGTGGAATCGGGAATTTGATCCAGTAGAATAGTTTGTCATATTTTTCAGGGGCGGGGGGGAAGTTTCCTCTATCCTTTTCCTTTTAGAACACAGCTAAGGGGAAGACAAAATTTAAACAACTCCACTGGACTGATTTTATGTTGAAAATCTAATGTAAACCTACAAAGCAGGAACATTGAGTTAAGGCTTGAAGCTGATTAGTTTCTAGTGTTTAAGCAGAAGGATAAGAAAAGTACAAGGCAAACAATTCCTTTGGAGAGAGAAAGTATATTTTGATTACCTCTTCCTTTTATTGTAAAATCATTCCTCACCACACTATGAGTGGACTCCAAGCATCATTGTTAGCAAGTAAGTCACAAGAACCAAAGCCGAAGTATGGATAAAGCAGCAAGATCATAACACATTAAAGTATCATATACACTGAAGAAATAGCTCAGCGTCTTAGGTGTTTGTTATTATTTTCTATAAAAATTTGATCATGTAGGACTTCATTCACAAGGACACTAACAATGAGGAAGTATTTGCTTTGGCGGTAGTGGATCGCACATCTGTGTAACTTGTTGTGTAATTTTTTAACATAAGGTTTCTCAGTGTCACTCAGATGTGAATCAGGTAGCATTCGACTTTTTTTCCCCATTATCGAGGTGGTCGCTCTCTGCTGTGGTGCCTTTTTCATTGACTTTTGCCACGCAAATCCATTGCTTAGAAGAGCAAGCTTCATTTCTGGACTGGTTTGGCGGGTCTTTTTACTCATTATCAGTCAGCATAAATAATAAATCCAGAAAATGTGCTGTATTTGTTGTTGTTTCCTCCGTGTGCTTTTCCTCCATCTAATTTAATGTAAACTTCGTCTCCCGGCTCCAGGTGAAGAACCACGCTGTTACTGGCATAGTCGTAGTTCTGATCGGCATCCTGAGCAATCGCACTAGCTCGAACCTACGTAAAATACATAATGAGTGGTTAAGAAAACTCAGGTATTTTTTTCTGCATGGAGAAGTTAAAGCATATCCTCAAGGTTGAGTTCAGCATGTGTGACGTGCCACTTGAAATGTCTGGCAACATACATTGCAGCTTTTCCCTGCCGTTATTGCTTATTTTCTCCCACAATACGACATCTGAAACTAAAGCAATAACGTGCCCCTGTCTCAGTCATCAGATTAACACAACTGCTTGCGCTCCTGTAGATGTCTGGAGCTTTTTAAAAATAGCTTCACATGAGAGAGCTGGAGAGCAGAGAAGTGAACCTGGCCCTGTGCCAGTTTTACACTGGTGTAACTTTATTTCAGCA